ATCTATCTATCGTTCGTTTGTTCTATGTATTGTTCTATCTATCTATCATCTATCTATCTATCGTTCGTTTGTTCTATCTATCTATCTATCTATCTATCTATCATGTTCTATCTGTCATTTTATTTTTGTTTCTATCATTCTTTTGCTATCATTCCTTTCTATGATTCCCATCCGTCCATCCACCCATCAAAACACAACGGGAAACGGCTTTGCTCCAAAAATATAATGTAATAAATAATAATAAAAAAAATTACATAATAATAATAATGAGTAAATAAATAATTTTTCCTGAAATTTTGCTTTTGTATGCCTTTTCAAAATGACAGTTTGTACTTACTGTTCTCTGTGAATGTTTAGACGATACCAGTTCAAGAGGAAAGAAACGGTCCTGTGCCTCCACCCAAACCTTCAGAACCATCCACCAATCACACGTCTCCCGGTGAGAAACTCTCCAGCAAACATAACTGAGCCATCCTCTTTAGAAACCTTAATAAACCTCAGGCAAGCACTTCTATTGAACAAGCATCTTGAGGCGATATAAGTGATACTCATCCTCTAATCCGCCTTCCGTCTTTTCCATTTTTTCTTCTCTCTCTCCTCCTCTTCTTGCCTAGATAAGGGTCCTTCTCCGTCTTTCAGGAGAATTTTACGTAACTTCTTTTCGTCCTCTTCAGAACGACACGCAGAAGGTCAGCCACAGGTACATTGTTTGTGTCTATAAGTCCCTTTTGAAAACCTGTGTGTGTCTGTTCCATCAAGTGAATTTGAGTGCACTAAATGAATTCCTCTCAGCATGTATGAAATAAGTAAGGTCGATAAAATGAGAAGAGCCAATGTATTGCTAATGGTCTGCATTAATATTCATCAGTGTTTTTCAAGGACATGTGCGGTTAAAGGGAATGAATGGTCTTCCATAGAATGTGTCAATATGCAAATACTCTTGCTAAAATGTTAATGAGTTTGAATACTTGGTTCAAATGCACCATGTCATGTATAATATAATTATTTTGCCTTTTTTTTCACCCTAGGAGCCTTATCCTCCACCTTTAACTGACACAATGACACCAGAACAGGTATTACCAATACTATAAGTAATTAGCTTCCGAGTAGATATTAAAGCATGAAAGGAAATTGTATTAATGTAGGTTCTGGATATTGTAAGATGTTTTAATTCTGCAGAAGAGTTGCTAAAATAAAATAAGGCATAGCAGAGTTGAAACCTTACGTGGTTTTGATTTGGTCACATAGATCAAAGCCTGGGAGGAGACAGAGATGGACAAACCTCTGGATATCGATCAAATCAGAATAGATCCCTCCCCCTTCCAGCTGGTTGAGAGAACATCACTACATAAGGTGAGAGACATGCCATATCAAGTCAAGTCATTTGATATGTCTCTTATATAGTGCTTTATACAATACATACTGTGTAATAAACAGGAAAATATAACAGAGTTAATGTTGCAAACTTCATCAGTTATGAAACAAATTCTATTTAATCTGTAAAGCAGTTCTGCAGAAGATAACAGTGTCATTATTCAGCTCAAGTCAGTTCAGAGTTGATTCAGTTCAGTTCAATAACAGCATCGATGTTGCAACGCTCATCAATTGAGACAAGTTCAGTTCACCTATTATCAGTTCTAGAGAAGGCAATAGTGATGAATGCATTATATATCTGTACCATATTAGAGTTTTTTTTTTTTATCAGTATCATCTAATATTGGATTGGATAGATTACATTGTTAAAGGGGTCATGACATGGATTTTTTAAATTATTTTAATATGTTCTTTGAGTTTACTTATAATGTTAATAAAGTTTTTTTGCACAAAAAAAAAACAAATAAATATAATGTGGAAAATTTTTGATTTTCAACCCTCTCTCTAAAAATGACCTGTTTTTAAGGGGCGTGTCCTTTAAGGCTTCTCAGTAATCGGCCACTGTTATGATTGGCTAATGTCATTGCATAGGAAACCGTATCAACGCCCCCTCTCTATTGCATGTGAGTGTTCTGACACCATAATCAAAATAAAACGGTCATTTCCAGACAAACATTATGAATTCATTTACTTTGTGATGCAGCTGCAATCAGATCTAGTACCGCTTCATCTTTTAACAAATGTTTCTTTGTGAACTCTCTATAACGCTGTGCCTCGTTTACAAAACAAAATCCTCAGACACGATCCGGGATGCCATTAAAAATAAACTATCCACTTGTTCCTTACGCTGGGAAACTTCTGATATCTGTACAAAGACGCAAACGAGCTGTTTAAACCAAATACGTCAAAGTGAACATTCTTTCACTCCATTTGTCCTATTGACAGACTCAAGCACGTGGACTGTGTCAGAAAGCGAATGCGCATCTGTATACTGTATCCAGTGTAGGCAAGATAGAGGCAGTGATTGTAATTTCTGTTCTGCAGAAATTCTATTCTGCATTCAGCGTAATCAAGTGTCAAGCCGTTAAGCGACTGAACGCCAGTGGGCAGGGCCTATGGTGAGAAGATGGCTGTTCGTCAGTGTCTTTGCTCTGGAGGTGGTCATATGAAAATGACCCCACCCGGATGACGTCACCTTGCACCTCGGATCCAAAACGAGCTGTTTTCTGAGGGTTATTACATAAATGCTTTTTTATTGATGATGAGGACATTTTAAGTTATGAAACTTGGAGGATGTATTAAAGGTGCACTAAGCGAATTTTGCCAAACAATGTTGATATTTGAAAGCACCAAAACAAACACGCCCATAAGCCAACAGGACCTCGCCCCTATTTTAAAATTTCCGCCCCACACGTACGTATGCAACCCTGGCAACGACGATCGCGGAAACAAGTGAAGATGACATACAAGCATATTCAAACAAAAGCCAACACGGGTAAGTTGTGTGAAACAATGCAAAATCAACATTACTCACCTATCAAGAAGAAACAACGCAACCTTGGCATCCGATTCCAGGCCTTCCCGCTCCTTGAGTTCTCTCCACTGCTGGAAAGCTGCTCCGATATTTAAGCAGGTCCTACCTCTTGCCTGATAGTAACCCTTATTTTTAATGTTTTGTTCCTCTGATATTTTCCTATTTTCTTATCTGCCATCTTTCTCTATCTATAGTCGATCTTCAAATATATGTCATGTGCTCTCAAATTGAGCGCTCTCTTCTCCCTATCATTGCTAGACATGCCCCCTTACTGCTGATTGGCAACAAGTGTGTTTTGGGACTCAGTCCGACACTGGTCAAAAGCGTTTTTCAAATATTGCTTAGTGCACCTTTAAGCAAACAAAGACTTCTTCTGTGCAAAAGAAATCGATGTAAATTTGGTTTCTTATGTCATGACCCCTTTAAATTACATTGTTAAAATCTAGCAAATCTCAAAATGAATATCTATTTTTCATAATGTACATTGTTGTGATCCCTAAATTCACTTGTAGATTTAAAATTAATAATTTCAGTTTTAGTATTTGCATTTTTTTTATAAAATAGTGTAGATTTTAATTTGTAATATGTTAACGTTAAATTTAATTCATATAATTATTTAATATTTTTAAAATAATTATTGGCTTATTGTATCAGCCAAAATTCTAATGATATATTCCTATTTATTAGTGTAAATCAGTGATTCACAAACTTTTTATCAGCCAAAACCCTTTAACCTAAAATATTGAGATTTTAAGTTAATATTTCAATAACACTTTTCATGTTCACAGTTCACTGATGTCTGTAAATAGTCACATGGCACACAGGTTAAACAATATTTCAAAATAATATATGAAATAGTATATTTTTAGCAAGTGTTTTATTTAGATTATTTTTTAATTGTACAGTTATTTATTTATTTTAATTTTACATTTAATTTAGTAATTATTAGCTTTTTATTAACTCACAAACTTCAGTTTGGAAAACGCTGGCATAAACGGAACAAATATTTTTAATTTAAGCATGGTGACAAAATTATTCTGATGATTATATCTTGATGATTTTGAAGGTCAATAAAAACACT